AGTATCACTACGGAAGTAGGATTGCCCAACCTTCCTTCCGAGGAGTGGCTGGTGGGTTTGAACCGCCAGCCATCTGGTTAGCAGGCAAGTGTCTTAGCCACTATGCTACCAGAGCTCCCATGCACATAGTAGGTGCTTGATATTTGGGTAGTGAGTTCATCCATTCATTTCATCCTTGTCCTCCTTGTTTAGATAATGTTTCAATTTGACAAGTTTCTCTCTCCCAAGGTGTTACCAACTCTCCTAGCCTTCTGTTGCTATGCCCCTAGGGGATGTTAGGGCATAGAAGTAGGCATTTTGGGTTGTCACAATGACTAGTGGGCTTGCTGATGGCATTTAGTGGACAGAGGCTGTTGTGTTGTTATGTGCCATCAAGTTGGACCCGACTCATAGCAACCCCTCCTTGGGTTTCCGAGGCAGTATCGCTACAGAAGTAGATTGCCCCATCTTCCTTCCGAGGAATGGCTGGTGGATTTGAACTGCCAGCCTTCTGGTTAGTAGTCAAGTGCCTTAGGCACTATGCTGCTAGAGCTCCTGGACAGAGGCTAGGGATGGTTAATGATCCACAGGGCACAGAACCAATGGTTGGTTCCATTTGGAAAGCCAGCATTGCCCCTGATGAGAAGTGTGGACTGCTATTGATGTTGACAGTATTCATTGTGGCAACAATACTGTGGCAAACACACAGTAGGAAACATTTATTGAGGGTTTACTACATACCAGGCACTACTATAAAGGCTTTATGTACATTAACTCATTTCAGCTTAACAACCTTTGTTGTTATGTTGTTGTTATGTGCCATCTAGTCGGACCCAACTCATAGCGACCCTTCCTTGGGTTTCCGAGGCAGTGTCACTATGGAAGTACATTGCCCGACCTTCCTTACGAGGAGCGGCTGGTGGGTTTGAACCGCCAGCCTTCTGGTTAGCAGTCAAGTGCTTTAGGCACTACACTACCAGAGCTCCCTAACAACCTTAGAAGCAATTATTTTACTATTTCCCACATTTTTATGGATAAGAAACTAAGGCTCAGGAAGCTTAAATGGCCTAAAGTTGCATTGCTAGTAAGTGGAAAAATTGGGCTTGATTCAAACCCATGTTGTCTGATAAAGAGCCCAGCATTGGACCACTTTTATCATCTACCGGTCTAAGTTATGCCTCTGTTCGTGCTCTCTTAGCCCCTTCCTGCTTTTAATACCCAGTTACTACATTTTAATGTGACCTGTTAGTAAATGAGGGAGCTGTGGTAGCTAAAGCATTTGACTGCTAACCAGAAGGCTGGCGGTTCAAACCCACCAGCCACTCCTCGGAAGGAAGGTGGGGCAATCTACTTCCATAGTGATACCGCCTCAGAAATCCGACTCGATGGCACATAACAACAAGAACAACAACAACAACAATTAGTAAATGATACTCTCATCAAGTAATGGCAGGATTTAGGTTTTAAATGTCTTGAAGAAAGGTAAATCTGCCCCCGGTAGACAACTTATCCGTTAGTAATTAAATTCAGAAGCCGTAACCTTTACAGCCTCTTTCCTGCTTGAGCCATGGCTTGCCTTACTTTTGATTGGCTGTTTTTGATATGGGAAATGGGAACCTTATGCCCTCTATGTACATGGCCTACCACTCATCATAGGTGAAGTTAGATTGTGTTAGTGTGATTTAGATTTCACAAAAATAAAACCCATGATTATCTTCTAAGACTTTGATTTTCTAGATGTTTTTAAATAGATGATGAAAAAATAGTCAAAGTTATTTTTTAACAGCAGGATTTCTAATAGCCTTTAATAGGTAAACAGCATTTATTTATCTGTGTGTTCTGGTTACCTAGTGCCACTCTGACAGGAATATACCACAGATGGGATGGCCTTAACAAACAGGAGTTTATTCTCTTACAGTTTGGAGGCTTTAAGTCCAAGTTCAAAGTGCCAGGCTCTAGCAGCTGGGTGAAAGCCCCTCAGTCTTTGG